AGTTACACTAGTGTTCACAGTGTAAAACTTTAAGTAATCATAGTCTACTGTCAAACAATATTTACTCTACTAAGTCATATGTAGTGTAAGAACCTTGTAACAGTGTACTGCCAAACTCTCCCTTCTCTTTTGTAATATTGTTGTCATATAATTCAATTTTATCTATACTATAAATTCACAATACCGTACAACTATTTTTGCTTTTGGTAATCAAATATCTTTAGAGTAAATAAGGATGAGACAAAATATATCTTTTATATTCATCTTCATTTTAACCATTTTCAGGAAATTTCCTTTCTGTGTAGATCAGGTATCTCTCTATTATCATATTCCTTCTGCCATATTTTTTTTTCTTTTACATTTCAGATAGTATAGTTCTGCTGGTACTGAATCTTCTATTTTTATTTGCTTAAAAAAGTCTTTATTTCTTCTTTATTTTTGAAGACAGTATTTTATTTTTACCATTTCTAGCATTCTGGGTTTGCTATATTTTTCTTACAGCACTTTACAGATGCCCTTCTATTGTCCTCTGACTTTTATAGATTCTTATGACAATGTTTTTAAACTTTTATCTTTGGTCCTCTTTATGTAATGTGTCTATTTTTCTCTGGCTACCTTTAAGATTTTCTATATCTCTTTTGGTTTGGGCAGTCTAAATATGAGGAGCATGTAAGTGTGTGTCCCACAGCATTTCAATGTTTTGTTCTTTTTTTCCATACTCTTTTTTCTCTTTATTTCCTGTTTGGATAATTGACCTATCTTCAAATTCACTCATTCTTTGCTCAGCTATGTCGGGTCTCCTGACACATCCATTAAAGGCATTCTTCATCTCCATACAGTAATTTTTATTTTTAGCATTGCCATTTTAGCATATTAGCATTGCCTTATATTTTCAACCTCCGTCAAAATTACTAGTCTAGTCTATTGTCCACCTTTAAAGTAGACTTTTAAAGATATTAATCACAGTTAGTTTGAATCCCCTTTTACATTTATGACATCTGGGTAATCACTAAGTCTAGTTCTCTTAATGTCTCTTGAAAGTGGATTGTACTTTTTGTTTTTTTCTGTGGTCTCATAAATATTTGACTTATTGCCAGTGACAGTGTGTGGTTGTGAAGACTTTGATAAATAGTCTCGTAATGTGCATACCTCCTCTTCCACGAGCAATTATTGTGGTGGACTAAGTCAATCTAAACAGCAGTTAAACTAGCTGTAGGTTTTGTTGTTGCTATAGTTGTCTTCATTGTGCCAATAATTCCAAATTATTTTGGAATTCACCTGGTTCTTAGGGTGCAGGCTGGTTTGCCAGGATATTTTTCTCAATTTTCCTGTTCCACTTTCCGCATTTTGCCTTCTCTGTGTGTCTGTGCCTTACAGAAGGCCTCCACGTCCTTATCTCTCCTGAGCTGTTGCTTCATTGTCTCTGCCTGCTCTGTCTCCCTATGATTTAGGGATGAAGATTGCTCCTGGATCCTGCCTTTCCCCAGTGATAGGGGATATCTAATGGTCTGGGTCATGACATTTCTTATCCTTCATCCAGAGTTAGAATAGTTTTCCTTTCTTCTTTCCCTAGTAACAGTGGATCTTGATTCATGCCCTGGGAGATAACAGTGTTTGAAGCCCTTCTTCTAGCAGTTTAGGACTTTTGTTCCTTAGGGTATAAGGAACTAGGTAGTGTTTTAGTCTTTGACCACAGTGGTAGCTGCTCTCTTCCTCCAAGCCTGTACCACTGAGGATGGCTTTCTTCTCTCTCTCCTGCCTTCAGTGTTTCTCATTAGTGCCTAGTGGAAGCTCATGGAGAAGCCTGAAAGAGAGTGTGTACTTCTTGTGTCTCTGGATCCCGGGTCCTGTATGTTTTCTCATTAGTTCACATTTGTCCTTTTTCAATTTGTTTTTACAAATTACTTGAATTTCTATACTTGCTTATATGGTATCTGCTATCTCTCTCTTCAGTGCTCTGCCAAAGGTGTGCCAATTCTTGCATTCCAATCTCTCCTTGAAGATGCCTGTTTTTCCTTAGGTTTTATGCTGGTTGTTTGCCCTGTGATCTCAGCGCTCTGATGGGCTCAAGAAAAGAGAAGATTTTATTTTCATATTATCTGAATTTTTCTTGTTATTGGGGTGGGAATAACAGCCTTTCTAGAATTCTACATCTTAAGCAGATTCCAAATGTTTTAAATGATACAGCTCCTCAAAAAAAGTATTTTTGAGTAACTTTCCCTAATATTTCTGTATTTTGATATATACTTGAACTACTGTATAAATATATAAATTATAATGATGAAATGGATACCTGGTTTGAATATGGTGACATAAACTCAGCTTTTCCCATTTCTTCCCTTTGGAAGTTTGTACCCCCCTAATATTCCAAAAATATAAAATAAATTTTAAAAAATAAAATAAAATTTATAGAGAATGAATACAAAACCTGTTGAGTAGAAGAAATTTTGCAATTTTCACAATTGCTGTCACAAAAGGAGCAACTATGAAAATGAACAAGGAAATAAATCAATTCCAATCAATAAAGCAGTAACAATGCATTAAGAAAAAAAAAAAGCAGCAAGGAGAACTGTGTCTCTCTGTGTTTCAAAGACAAACTGTAACCAGGGTGGCCGCTGCCAATAGTCACACAACGACATTGGGGCTGTTGCCAAAAAATAGTTACAGGTTTTTTTCACCTATATGTATGCTTCTCACCCTTACAAAGTAAATTTACTTGCTTTTTCTGATATATGTAGCCTTAGCAAAAGCGAGACTAAGCAAATGATCACACAACACATCATATTATAAAACACAGGTTGTTTCCATGACAGTAGAGAAGAAGGGAGCCTGTGAATTGTGGAAACAAATCAGTCTTCAATTAATCCCCTTGACCTTCCCCAGAAACCCACCAATTGTCCCAATGATAACCAGTCTAATTCAGTATAAGTAATAAAAAGAGAACCAGCACTGAACATATGCAAAGATACAATGAGAAAAAGGCAGACAGATGAAAAACTCTCTCCAGAAAAACTTGACACGATACAGGTGATGACTGTAAGTAAACATCCGTCATGACTTTTAAAAACTTAAAGCAAGATCATAATGTAGAAATGCAGTAATCAAGGAAAAGGCAATCAAATGTGAGATGGTAGAATGCTGTAAATGAAAAGAATTGAAAATAAGATTTTAGAGAGAAAAATGACAGAAATAGATAACATGTAAAGAAAACCTAACACATGCTTAAGTGGAATCCCTGAAGAAAAATACTGAAATTGTATTTGGGGGTAGGGCTGTTGTAGTTAAATACAAAGATGCAAATTTATATAAAAATATAAATCAAGAAAACATTCCTAAATTATCAGAAGATTTTAATGCATACATTATATTGTTAAAATATTAAAGATTAAAAGCCCACATTGTGTGATAGGGAAATAGAATCAGAATGATCATCACTGAGACATGACTTAGTGAAATTATTGGATTTCAAAATGAAGAAATAATTCTTTGGGCTGATGGCCCACAAGGAACAATCACCGTAAGTGCTGGAAGGGTTGGGTGGGGGACCAAGATGCTGCTCTCAAGCTTCTTAATAGCAAAAGACTGTGGAGCACTACTTATACGATTTCATGGAGAGTAAATATAAACCATGGATTCTATATCCAGGCAAAATTTCATTTAAATACACAGGAAACAGATATATAGTTGAGAACACACTATATTCTCAGGGATTATTTCCGTAAGATGTTTTTGAGAAAATTAGTACTAGAGAATAAATTTCAGCCAATGTGTGGGTGACTGGAAGTACAAAAGCACAACTGAGCATAGACTATATTCAACATACAATTAAAACTAAAACAACTGTAGGGATTAGGATGGCAGAAAAGAAAGCAAATATAATGTGTCCTAACAATGTAGAAATTATACAACTAACAAAAAATGGAAAAATATGGGGAAAAGAAGGTCTGTGGAAAAGTATGCTGATAGTTTCAGTTAAAATGGCCAAAGGATGAAATGTAAAGTTGATAAACAGAAATAAAAGAATATTTAATAATGTAAATCTATACACTGAGGAAAATCAAATAAATGATTAAAATTAGATGGCGAGAAGAAATAGAGGATTAGAGAGATTGAACAAACCTCTTAATTTTATTATTTGTCACGGTAAAGAATAATAGATCTGGTATTAAAGGTTAGACTTATAAAAGTATTCAATGACGGAAATAATGCAAATCTTCTTAAATGTCAGAAGAACTACCCATACACACACATACAAAGAAGACAGATACAAGCCAGCGAACAATCCTTTGGAATCTTTAAACATAGAAAATGCAATAAAAATCACAAGACAAAACCAATCTCAAGTATACTTACAACATAAATAAATTTAAATGAGCTAAAACTCAACTATTCTTTTAAAAAGTAAAACATTCAGATTGGATCACATAGCAAAATCCAATTCTAAGCTCTATATGAGAGAGCAAGCCAAAGCTAAGTGTTTAGAAAGGTTGAAAATGAAAGCAAGTGTGAAGATATATGAAGCAACTGTAAATATAAGACATGATTGGATTCAGGCCAAAAACCACTGAACTAGACAAAAGGGTATATACTTCATGACATTAACATGTGCAATTCACAAAAAGCAAATAAAAAGACTAGTGCTTTAGGCAACCAACTGGAGTTTGTTTAGAGTGACCACCTACCCCGGTTTACCATGGATAGATTATGTTTGTTGTCTTGGTTTAATTATTTGTAGAACATTCTTTCACACTTAAAATATCTGGGTTCAAATGACAAATCACATGATCATCCTAGGTTTATTCCAGGAATGCAAGGACAGTTGCATATCAGGAAATATATCCACATAAACACATGGAGTTTTAACATTGTGTTATCAGCCTCATAATACTGCATGGCATGCTGTAGTATGTCCTTTTATAAGCTCTTACAAGCCTCTGCTTTTTCAGTACTCACTTTCTTTGGTCACTGGATCACAGCTCTGATATATGTTCCTTTTACAGGGTCCCTTGAAAGGCTTTCTGGAAGATTTAGGCAGACTGCAGAAGAAGTTTTATGCCAAAAATGAACGGTTACTTTGTCCTATCAGGACCTACCTGGTAACAGCAAGGAGCGCAGCCAGTTCAGGTGCCCGTGTGCTGAAGACCCTTCGCCGCTGGGGTCTAGAGATAGACGAAGCTCTTTTCCTTGCTGGAGCTCCCAAAGGTCCCATCTTGGTGAAGATCCGGCCCCACATCTTCTTTGATGACCACATGTTCCACATTCAAGGGGCACAGAAATTAGGCACCGTTGCAGTTCATGTACCCTTTGGCTATGGTCAAAAATTCAGTGCTTAGGGACAGGGAGGAGAAATAAAGCAGTGACAGTCTGATATCACAGAAGCCACTTCTTTTGGCTCTCTAGGGTAATTAGATAGATACTTCAGTAGACTGGACCTCAGAACTTAGCTCCTTTGAAAAGGTTTTCTCTTGATTTTTTGGAAAACATTTTGAACCCTCAAGTTACCTTTAAAGGACTTCTTTTTGAGCTGTCAATGCTGTTGAATGCCATTGCACTTATCTCTGTGTAAGTCATAATGATGACTCTTTAGGATGTTAGAACTTGAATGTTTGCATGCTTAAGGGGCTGTTTCAGAAGCTTACTTAGTTTCACAAAACATTGCTCATTTTCAGATGATTGTAGATGGAATGAATTGTAACCAATCATCATTCTGTAGTGGTGTTCAAAAGTGGAATAAGTATGATTAAGTACACGCTTGAAAACTGAAGCCTTTAATTCTGTTGCCTCTATGACCAGCTTTTTGACCAATGCAAAATGAGAATGCACTCCACCTGCATAAGTATACCAATTTTGACATTGCTTATTTAGAAATAAATCAGCTGATTGTTCTCACAGGGTTCTAAGAGGAGCTCTAGACAGAACCTCCTGAGGAAGATTCTTTGAAGCTTACTTGGTGAGTTAATTGCCCTTGAACCACAAAGCTTCATATTTGAAGTATCTGGCTTTGGGCCTGGCAGGTTGACCCAATGTTTGTATGGGAAAACAAACAAAAAACCTTGGCCATCACTTCAAAATGTGACATAAAGTGTAGTATTTTGGCCCTTCATTGTCATTCTATTTTGACTTTTGTTTCATTTGCAACAAAAATGTACTGGTTATTAACCATAATATTCCATATGTTACGCACAGTGAGCTGGTTATTTTCACGTTACCTCATTTTCTTATCAAATTAAATGTTTGTGACGTAGTATTATTATTACCTTCCTTTTTATCAATGAGGAACCTAATATTCAGAAGGACTAAGTAGCTTCCCTAAGGATGTGGAGCTAATACGTGGTAAGACTAAGATCCAAATTCAGATCTTACTTCAAAAGCTGTATGATGTCTCTTTCTTCTCTTCCAAATAGAGTTGTAATTAATTGTTGTAATTAATTCCATGGACTTTGGATCCAACAGGAACAAATTAATCATTCCACTAAGTTCCATGCATAGACTACATAGCAGTTACGCTGCAGGTCTAAGCATTTTTCTCCTCCTATCCTCATCACACTTTCTCCAGCTCTCTCTATCCTTGCCTCCATCTCTGCCCCACCTGTACATACATATTCCACCCTTGGCTCTAGTTGAGAGAAGACCACAGCTGAAACACATCTTTTGATTTGCTTCCTAATTAGATGTAAGCCAGTCCAAAATATATCAGTCATGACATGTGACACTTATCGAGTACCTACTGTTTTGTAGGTGTTCTCCTATGTGAGGACCACAAGAGGGACTCACACATAACCCTATCCTTTAGGAAAGTTAAGCCTTAACAATCTGGTAGAGAAAGTCAAATGTGTAAACTCAAATAGCCAACCCTAGCGAGCTGTTTGTCCTCGGTGCCAATAAAGGTAGAAGATTTCTGTACCACACAATAAGCACCCTGAGGGCAGGAATGGTGTCCTATTTCTCTGTGGCTCTCACAGGGCATAGGCAGGGCCTGACACATATTAGATGGGGAAGTACATGAATGAATGGCATCTTCAAGAGTAGTTTTGTCTAAAGCTATCAAGTTTGCAGCTTGAAGATGGGTTTCTGTGGCATTAATCCCTGACATTTATGAAGCATTTGACAATCTACAAAGCACTCTGACCCTCATTGTTAGATGCAATAGTCCCATGGAGGGAGCAGGGATGTATCTGTGAATGGGCCTGCTCAGAAGTCAATGTTTATAATTAGTCCAAGCTACTCCCACTGTGTCAAATAGGATCATTTGAGGATGACTGTTTCTTTAGGGACCAATGCCATAATGGTCTTCAGTGGTTCTCAACGTGTGGTCCCCAGATCAGCAACATCAGCATCACCTTGGAATTCGTTATAAGTGTATTTTCTCAGGCCCCATCCCAGACCTATTGAATGAGAAACCCTGGTACTGGAACCCCGAATTTTTTTGTTTGTTTCGTCTCCCCACCTCCTGCCACCAAACCCCATGGTATTTCCAACTGATTCATGTTGCTAAATTCTTAGTCTCACCTATGAAAGAAAGGGTCCTTCCTCGGACTCCGGCTGGGCAGGGACCATTCTCCAGAAGTAAAAGTAAATTGAACTGAGTTTACAAGTCACAGGAGCCCTTAAAGGAGAACACACTAAATGCCCTGAAGAGTGGCATTTGTAACCCAAACTATTGAAAGATTTGTAAACGCAAAGTATTCATCTGGCATTCCCACTGGGAAGGCTGCCACCACTCTGGAATTTCGATGGTTACGAACCCCAGCAGCCTGAAAACTGTCGCGAGTGCCCAGTCTCCACCTTTGGGCTGGGAGCATGTTCCATCGAGGGCACATGACCTAGAGCGCGCGATTCTCCCAACCAATCAGATGCCCTCAAAAGGGAAACTACAAGTCCCGGCATGCCAAGCGCGCAGTGTTGGGGGCCGACTGGTCGCGCCTCAGAGTTCTTCGCGTGCAGGTGGCAGGCTTGGTTCTTAGAAGGCGGAGGCTCCGGAAGTCCCGCGCAGGGACCGGTGGGCCCTCAGACCCGGCAGCTATGGCGGTGGCTACCGCGGCGGCACTGCTGGCCGCACTGGGTGGGGCGCTGTGGCTGGCGGCCCGGCGGTTCGTGGGGCCCAGGGTCCAGCGGCTGCACGGAGGTGGGGCCCTAGGCCTCATGCACGGGAAGACCGTGCTGATAACCGGGGCGAACAGCGGCCTGGGCCGCGCCACGGCCGCCGAGCTGCTGCGCCTCGGGGCGCGGGTGATCATGGGCTGCCGGGACCGCGTGCGCGCCGAAGAGGCAGCGGGTCAGCTCCGCCGCGAGCTCCAGGCTGGGGAGTCCAGGCCAGACCCCGGCGCCGGCGAGGCAGGCGAGCTCGTCGTCAGGGAGTTGGACCTCGCCTCGCTGCGCTCGGTGCGCGCCTTCTGCCAGGAGATGCTCCAGGTGTGGGTCTCAGGGGTGGGGGCCCGAGCTGCGGAGGAGGAGGAGGGAAGGCCTGGGCCAGGGCGCGGGGTAGGAGGAGCCTGGGGGCGGGGCAGCGGCCGCCCTAGAGTCCAGGGGGTGTGACTGAGACTACGAAGAAACAAAACAGCCACTTTGAGGGGCTGTGAAGCCAGGGGCTTGAGAAGGAAAGAGAGCTGAGAGGGCCGTCTTCTGTCCTCTAAGGATGTTGAGAAAGAATGGGCCCAAGAGGAAAATAATAAATGAATCCGTTTCTGAGCATTTCATTTTGTTATGTGAAGACGTTCCTGGAGGAGATCCTCTGGGCTCTGAGTTTTTCCTGTGTCAGACGTGAATCAGCACTAAGCCATGTCTTTTGAGCCCAAGAGCACTGGGGAAAATTGCTAGCCAAGGACCTTAGATCAATCCTTTCTTTTCCTTCTTCTCCTCCCCACTTTTCTTTCTCTCTCTCTCTTTTTTTCTTTGTCTCTCCCTCTCTCTCTTTTTTTTCCTTTTCTGCTGGAGTAGAGAGTGTAGCTGGATGCCACTGGCGAACTCAATAGCACCGTCGTTAACAAGACTTTGGCCTGATTTCCAGTAGAATGGAGCTTGGAATTCTGGTGATCATGCTCTAAAGGGGATAGAAAAATAATACTTAGCTTTTATTGAAGGTTCACTGTATGCCAGGAGCTGGGACAAGCATTTCAGATACTCTTCTCTTTTTTTAATTTTAAATACAATTAAATGCCCTTGTTTATTATTGTCCTGAAATCTTCACAGTCACCCTGCATTATTATCCCCATTTTACGACTTGAGGAAACTGAGGCATAGGTAGACTTACTATCTCCAGAGCCATCGTTTTTAACCCCTATTCTATGCTCTTGCTACCTGGCAGTGAGGTGGGAAGATTTCTTTGTGCAGATGGTAAATAGTCCACTGAAGTGGATGCTGTCTGTTGAATTGAGGTAGAAGGGTTTCTTGCAGGGAGGACTTGCAAGAGGACATTTATTCAGAAGAGTGAAATTTAAAATTAGCTGGCACAGGAAAGGTGCCTATTATGAAATGGAGTCTCTTGAGCCTAAAGCAGAGGTTCCCAAACTTTCTCAGTAATTTTTTTATGGTGGCCTTGAGCCAAAAGAAAGATCTTCCAGTTTGTTTATTAAGTAATTAGGTCCAAACAACCTAGTAAGTATTTATGTCCTAACAACTTAATAGCTGTTGAAGAAAATAACATACATAATTGAAAGAAAAAATATATTTCTTCTTAAATAACCATAATTACTAATGGGAACTGTATGCCTGTTGGTCACTGCACCAACTTCCCAAAAAGACCCTGTCACCCTCATTTCCTATTCTACTTCAATTTTTAGCATTGTACTTGTTTTTTATCATAGCAACTGTTAACAATGGCTAAAAATTCAGCTTCACAAAGAAATTATTTCATCAAAAGGAATATAGCACAATATAATGTTGAAAATGTGAACCACCTGGACCTAGTAGTTTTTGAGGTATTGAGCAGAGTACTATTGTGTTTCTTTGGAAATCTGAAGTATTCCGCAGCACCCGGGGAGTTTGGTATGGTGCTCTAGGGCACCTTGAGTCGCAATTCGGGAGCAGTTGCAGATCTAGAGAGTTGTTTTTTGTTTTCTTATTGCTAGTATTTCATTATTGTGTAACACAGGTTAAAAAATAAGATACAGTACTCATCTATGAGAGATTTTGGAAGCATTAGAAGTGGGTCTTTCTGTTCTTCATGAAAGTGTAGATGGGGCTAGGTGTGCTTCTCAGTGCTGATACCTGTGATACTTTGCTACTTTGACTGCTTGAGGCAGAAGCAATTAAGAGGTAAGGACACAGAGATATAAGTAAGATGTCCTTGCTTCTAAGTATTTACATTCCTGGCTGGCTCTGAAATTCAGTGACTATAATTAGAAGGAAAAAAAAATGGAAGTGTAGATTTCCCACAGGTTGGTATTCTTGGTATTTATGTCATTTATCTCCTAGAATTTAAAAAATAGTAAATGATAAAGTCTTAAAATAACACAAGGCCAGCAAAGAATGATGGCTCAGAAATGATTAATTCAGGAAACCCTTCCAAAGGATTAGTGAAAAAGAACACTCCTTTCTTTCCCCCATGGGTGAACTCTTGCCTTCTTTTTGAAGTTGACTATTGGAAAACCTAAAGGTGCTTAGATAGGCCAGAATGAGAAATAGTTAATCCTCTGACAGGCTTTGATAACAGTTGTGAAATTTAACACATTTTTCTTTTCACTTATACTTGGCAGAGGGACAGTGAAATTTGAAATTTGACCTCATATTAATTTAATCGTGGGTCATCACAGTGTCCTTACACCTGGAACACGTGCATTTCTTTTTCTCTGTCCATCAAAAGAGACACGGAGGAGCCATGAAAGGGCTAGAGAAGACCAACTTACTTGATTTAAGGAATGAAAAGTCTTCCATATGAGATCAGTCT